GTTCTTCTGTGAGTCTCCCCACTGTTCACGCCCGCCTCCCAACAAACGCACATTCTTCCCCTCTGTCCCGGGACGGAAAGAAGGGCTAGGGCCCCTTCACACAAGACCGTCCAAAAGGGCAGAGGCCTGTGCCTGAGCAGAGGAGGGGATGGGAGTGAGGAAGGTGCTGGAAGCCCAGCCATTTGTCACTAATTTCTGATACTCTCCTAGGGCCTGTCTGTTAAAAGCACTTGGCACATTCGGAGTTGTTTACATGTCTAGTTCTCCACCAGATGGACCGCTCCTGAGGGCAGGGCCCGTGTCTCATCCTCCTTGCTTCCTAAGTGACACCCAACAGGCCCATAATCAATGAGGGCTGAGTCTGACTGCTCAAACGGCCTGTCCCCACCCCTCCTACATGGTTGCACACCCATGCACATGTGCGTGTGCACACACACACACACACACGCACACACGCACACACACACACCCTTCTGCTGCAGTGCTGACTGGTCCCTTTAATGCCTCATGCCTGGCCCCGGGGCCAGCCAGAGAGAGAGAAGCCAGTGGAAACGAAGTGTACAGTTAACAAGCAGCAGGCCCCAGATTTCTGTGGCTAGGCAGGGGGAGCCGGAAACAGCACCCAGCACGTCCCTGCTAGGGAGGGAGCGCTGTGTCCTTGGAAGCCGGGTGCATGTGTGCACCTGCGCGGTGCCCACCTGGTTATGTGCCTGTCCCAGTGTGAGGGCAGCCGAAAGGGGCTGCCCGCAAGTCTGTGCCCACTCTCCTCCCGCCCCCGTGCCGTGCGCACGGTGAGCACAAGCGTGCGTGTGCGGCTGGGGCGGAGGGCTTACAGCACTTCCCTTGTGTTCTTTGTCTCCAGTTTTCCAAAGACTGAAGTAGGACCCTAACTAGGTACATGCTTAGTACTGACTCCAAAATTCTTAAGCTTAGTGCCCCCTAGGGGGAGCCTCGGGCAGTGAGAGAGAGAGGTGAACAGCCCCCTTCCACACACACTCGCGCTCCCGGTGACCCCAGGGGGGATGGCCTCTGGACGCGTCTGACCTTCCTGCGGTCCCAGCTCGGGTGACACCACCGCTTCCCCGAGGCACCCTTCTTGCTTCCTAACCCCCCCAGTCCTCCTTCCCGGCCTTCAAGGTGGGATGCCGCCCACCATTCTCACCGGGGGCCGACGCAGCCCCTCTCCGCTCAGCCCGGGGTCTGCGAGGCTCCGCCCCGGGCCCCTCCCCCTGCCCAGGACCCCCCTGAGCCCCGCCCCCGGCGCGGCCCCTTCCTCGCCACCGCGGACCGAGCC